GTCCTCTTCTGATCCTTAGGTTACAGTCTCCAGTCCTATCCTTTTCACAAAGTTTAGCAACTTGGAGACTGAACCCTCCATGTAGCTCCCTGCAATGGCCTATCATTGCCTATTACCGAGAACCACACATTTACCAATCTGCCGCACCGACATAAAAAATGTGTTTAGTCATTTCTTCTTCAGATTGGCAGAAACTACACTTTAGCTTCGTCTGTCAGTCCTATCAGCTTTAGATGCCTATTCGGCTTACAATGACCTGTTAGTAGAGCCATTACAGCTTTGACTGCCTTTCTGTCCTGGCTTATCAGGTCTACCGTGAGTTTTGACGAATGTTCTACAATGAACTTTTTTGCTTGTCTCTGCCCTAGTGATTTTTAGGCACCCATCGTTCCGTAGCCATTCTAGTCTATAATTGACCTCCGCCGAGCCGAGTGCCTTTGGCGCTGCTTGGTTGTCTGTGAAGATGGACACAGAACGATTTGTTCTTTGTTGCTTCATTATTTCTACTACGCAATAGTGGATTGCCGTTATTTCTGCTTGGAAAATTGTGACATCCTTAGATAGATTCGGACCTACTATCTTCCTGGAATGGTTCATATATTAAATATGTTGTTGCATCTATATAGCTATATAGCTATTGTATTAACCCCAATACTTTATCTGCTTTTAGCTCTACGATTAGCTTCGGGTTAACAGCATTATGCGTCTGGCTTTTGTGCTGCTGACCGTGAATTAATCTGTGCCTAACAGATTTGGCTACGCCTTGTATGAAAATATGTAATGGTGGTAACGTGCCAAACTTGGTTTCAATCAACCCATAATTAAGAAAAATCCCGATTATTTCGTCCATTTAGAGCCATCGCACAGTGTTTCGAACATATGGCTCTAGAGGACAAAAATGCAAAACTTCTCTTTTATTGTAGGCAATTTATTCAAACTAGGTTTATTTGACACAAATGATGAGTACTATCATTGTACTAAATGATGATGTTCTTGGTCCCACTTTTATGAAAAAAAATCTTATAAATAATAAAAATGTTGGAGCTGTGTTCTATCTAAGGAAATAATAATTTATAGTATAAAAACGGTGTAAGTATTAAATAAATCCCCGTGATAAAAAAGAATTGAAATAACATTAGAACATGATTCCTACAATATAAGCCTAATATAAGATAAACATGTTTTTCCTAAATGAAAAAGAAACATTAATGTTATATTTAATTAAAAAAAAACTTAAGATACTATAAATTTACTTTAGGACAACAAAATGCATAGATCGTAACTACTCTGATTCAGAAGAATCACTGCTGACAGAATCTTCCAAATTTATAGTATCCAAATCACAGGTAGATGAAGTATCCTCACATATAAGATATTTCTATACATCATTTTCTGATATGTTACTTTTTCGCGCTGTTACTGTTCTTTTTGTTGGTATGAGGGGTTCGGATGTTAATAGTTACCATATCCATATATTATTTTTTCCTTTTCTTGGGTATGAGGTTTTATAATAAATTGAAATATGGAAACTTTTTTATGCGACGTTTCGCTCCAACATAGTGGGCTTTTTCAGGCACAAGTGGTGTCTCATTTGACTGGAAGGTTGATCAATATCAAATAAAGAAAACATTTTTTGAAATACAAATAATTTTGAGTTCTTGTCCTCATGATCAAGCCAAGTATTAACCAGATCGGCATTGCTTATCAATTTTACTCCGTCTGAAAAGTATTATAAAATAAAGTTCGTCGCAATCAAACGAAGGTGAACTATACAAAAATTAAAAGTGTATGAATATGACAACAAAAATATTCAATATATACGATATGTTTTGATATGATTTTTAAATGCCTTTTTGAAGTTTGAAAACGTAAAATTTTTATACCCATTTAAGAATCATCTTAAAAAATAAATAAAAACTAAACAATCACGAACTTGTTTAGAAATAAATTAAACAATTTATTTCTAAAAATAACAATTAGTTTAACCATATCCATAGTTCCTTTCAATTAAGTACGTATCGTTTAACTCCATAATATACAGAACTACTATGATGAATCTTATTCTTTTCACTGATAAGATAATGATCGCAAAATTTATTTTTAGTGAAAATATTTGCTAACAAAAAACGCTGTTTATGAAAAATAATATACAGGATGGTTGAACATTGCTATAAGTATAAAATTACATATTCAGATATTAGTAAATTTTAACTTGTTTTCGATTTTTGTCCATGGGACGAAGCACTGTGCATCGGTTCGAAACGTCGAGGGCGTCATCCTGTAACCCGTCCTGTAGTTATGCCGAAATTGACCCACATTTTTCTTCAAACTCAAACCGTTAGTCTTACGTTGAGGAAGATGTAAACGAGACGTCGCGTCGTATCCAACTTTGCAGGGTGAAACCGTGTGCCCCGTCGCGCACAGAGCCCACTCACCAAATTTGGTCGCGATCGGACGACATCAAATTTTGACGTTTCTTGCGTTAAAACTAACTGTCACAGTAACACGTGTCTTACACGGTCAAGTTGGCCTTGCTTCAATCTATCGACATACCAAATTTCATTCAAACCGGACAATTTTTTGAACTTCAAAAAATACAGTCACAGTTTCTATATGCCAGTGGAAAATTGAATTAATTTGTCGTTAACGGCGGTATGCTTAACCTGGCAGATAAACTGTAATTTAAACATAAAATACCGTACAGAGAAAAACGAAAAAAAGGGAAACACGTAGATCTATAGCTAGACATTTTTACACCTACCTTTAAGATTCACCTATTAGAGGTAGCAAAAGATTGAGCGAGTCGTTCATTTGAACGAGTATTAAAAATGAATCGCAAGATTCGATTCACTGCTTAGAATACGGTTCGTTGAATTAAATCTTGGCCAGCACGGATCGATAAAATTTAAACACACGTGAGAGTCGTAAGAATTGCGAGTGGTAAGAATTGAATCGGATCACAATGTGACTCGTTTCTACACGGCTCATTCGTTCAAAGAATCGTGAGAATTGATTCATTGCTTACAACTTACAAGGGCGGTATTTCCTTTTTTATAAAAGTATACCGACGAACTACCGTCGCGTCGGTACCCTTCATGTATTTAGCAACAACCCGTACTTGAAAAATGTACCTTGTTTTTCAGCAGTATTAATATTAATAAATATGCAAAACCGCATAACGGCGGTCTTTCTTTCGTCAATTGTCTATACCGCCGGTAGTAGTTTAGTCAGCTTGATTATCTTTCAATTTATAAACTAGACTAGAACTAAATACATTTAACCTCTAATACTAAAGATAATTAATATTTACGAGGTGGAATTAGAAGTTGTTACGGAAGCTGAGCTTTGGTTATATGCAAAATAGCTGTGATTAAGTTCTCGCATATATTTCAAGTTATTTCTTGAAATTAAATAATGGGTGTGTCTGTGGCGGGTGTCTCAGTATCATTAAGTAGTGTTTTTACGGCAGCTCTTTAACCAACAAGCTGTGACCTTAAGTTTACGACCTTTTGTTGGAGGAATTATACTGTCGCTAGATTTTATATGTCTAAAATGCGCCGTGACTTACTATGTATGTATGTATTTTGCCATCACATTCGTAAAAAATATATCTCCGTATTAAATTGTTATAATATTAAATATATTATATTAAATATATTAAGTATATTATATTAAATATATTATATTCAATATATCATATTAAATATATTATATTAAATATATTATTTCTTTTCCTACGTTTTTTAAGTTACCAAACCTTAGAAATTAATTTCACAATTTATCACAAACGTTTGTGGTAAAACAAATAATATTGCGTATTGCCTATAACATTATTAGGCATTGGCATAAAAGTGTGTATTTTAGGTGGTATTCCACAAAATTTGCAGGCTATTGACGCACATAGTGAACACACAATTTTTTTTATAGGCTTGGTGCATTCTCTGCCGGTGCTGCGACCAGCGGAGAATACCGTAATCAGCCGACTAAACACATACATACAAATACATGGCTTTAAATAGCGAAGAAATAATGAATTTATTATAATATTATTCGAAAAGTATTAGTAAGTGCAATTTGTGAAAATTCAAATAAAAATGTGTATCTTTTGATATTTTTACAGAAATATACGTCTATAATAATTTATTACTCAAGTTAGTCAAACTTTTGAGATCAGTAATAACACGCCGGGTTTTTAGGCAATAATTTCAATATTATTTCAATGAAATCAACGTGAACAGTAACCGGGACTGCGTGAATACAGAGCAGGAAGGTTCTGATTTCTACCGTACCAAGCGCTGCTGTAGAAATTTAAAAAATCAACTGAAATATATATATATATATATTATATATATATATATATATATATATATATATATATATATATATATATATATATATATATATATATATATATATATATATATATATATATATATATATATATATATATATATATATATACACCTAGTCTATATACACATAACAAATGTTCTTACTATAGAAAAATTTCCTAGAAAGTAACCAAAATTAATATTAAATTCTTCGTGCTGGTTTATCTAGATTTAGTTATTATTGTTGAAAAATGAGCGATGGGTGAAACGCTTTGCAATATTTTTGGAAAAAAAAATAGTTTAATTTTTTCCCCCGATTTGAATATCCCCGCGTGAGTAGTGTCTAACATTTTGAGTATAAACCCACCCCTAACATTCTCTTAGAGAAAAAAATTGATCAGAATGTCTCAAATACATCGGGGAAACTAATGTTTTCTTTCCAGTCTCCCGATATATATTTAAGATTTTCCTGATATATTTTTTTTGTCTAAAATGTATGCCTTATCTTTTTTCAAATTACCATCCTATAGGTATAGAATTTTGTGCAAAAATTTGCAAAATTTTATGGCACCTGTAATATTATTTTCTGTAGGTTCTAATAAAACAGGCACATACTTATTCACGTTAATAGCTTTGAAAGTATATTAAATAAAAATTAATTAAACTTACCACAAGTCATATTTTGATCCGACTACTTTTTTATCAGGCCAGATCATTATGCAGCCCACCCTTTCCACGTCACGATGGCTGGAACAAATTAAATAATTTACTTTGAGAATTTAAAGAGAAGGACTATTAGAAAACTTAGAAAGAAATTAGAGTGTACGCAAACTTAATTAAGAATCTCTTTTGATGGCGCCTCCAAATCTAGAAATAGCAGTGTAAAAGTCGTATAATTTGTTTTTTAGAGTCAAATCTATTCAAAGTAGATTATGTATAGACCTCTACTGAGTCAGAAATAAACGTGTCTCATAGTTTTAGAAGTTATGCAATAATTCAAAAAATTCTAATTTGTTTGCAAAATAAATCTCCAATTTTACATTAACATTTATGTATACCGGGTGCGTCTCAAAAGTGGCTCACCCCTATAACTTTTTATTTTTTCAGTAAAAAAACGAGATTTGGTATATTAGTATATATCACAAATTAGGATTGATTGACGTATTCAGTTGTTTTCGGTCACTTCCTGTTTCACCGGAAATGACTAAAACTTTTGATTTTTTAAATCGCACTCTCGATATTTTTTACTTTATTCGATAGAAAATAACACTCTGAATAGAATGACATATCATGTCAACTTTTGACATTTTTGCATATGGTTTCTTGAAATTATAACTTGCGGTTCGTAACGAAAATTTGACTGTAAATACCAAATGTGAGGTATCAAATTATTCTTAAAAAATGCTTTTTCCAAATATGCTAATGAGCCACCCTCGTTCCATTTGAAAAAATTGAGATATTAAAAATACGATTTGGCGATTTTCTAACCGGACAGGATAAGACACTAAAAACATTAGATGATCAAATCTATTTTTCTAAGGCCCCTTGATTAAGAATTAGTATTTTTAACATAGCCATGGCACTCTAGATTGAAATTTAAAATATAATTTTTTATTATGTGTGAGAGTTGTCATATGTGATATGGCATTCTATTCAAAATGTCATTTTCTATCGAATAAAGTCAAAAAATACCGAGGGTGCCATTTAAAAATCAAAAGTTGTAGTCATTTCCGGTGAAACAGGAAGTGACCAAAAACAATTGAATACGTCAATCAATCCTAATTTCAGTCATATACTAACATACCAAATCTCGTTTTTTTATCTGAAAAAATAAAAAAGTTATAGGGGGTAAGCCACTTTTAAGACGCACCCGGTATATGTATTATGCTGTTCTAAAAGATTAATTTATTTATTTAATTATAAAATTGTCGCCTAATTTAGTATTTTTTATCTCTCATAACTCTAGAACAAATTAAAGCCATTCATAAAGAGTTCTTTTTTTTCTCTAAAAAGTTTCAAAGGATTTTTTCTGTAAAATAAAATAGGGAAAACATTTCTAAAAGTTCGTTTTTAAAATTTACATGGAATTACCAATATCGAGTTTGGCGATACAACACACGGTAATAAAATCTCATTTAGGTGTAAATTTTTAACTTATAATTTATAGTTGAAATATAGCCTTTGAAGAGATTTGACAGGTTTTTAATAAAAGTTCAATATTGCCAGAAATATATTGAATAAATCCTATTCGTATTCTTATTGAACAGATGTTTCTCAATATTGCCAGCTAAAATTATTTCTTTGAATAACTTAATATTTAATTTTTATTAATTTTGGATTAATTATTTGTTCAATGGAATTCAATGCATTTCAAACGTTAACTAATCATTTTTATTATACAGGGTGGTCCGAATTGTATTCCGGAAACTTCGACAGCATATTCTGCAGATAAAAATAAGTAAAAAAGTTCGTATATGTATGTCCTAAAATGCTTGGTTTCGGAAATACAGGGTGTAAAAATTTCATTTTTATTTAAATTTTTTCCAAATAATTTATAAAGTAACGTCAATATTTGGATGAAAATTGGTGCCTGGGAGTTTTTTGATATGAGAAATTTGATTTTTGAAATATTGACGTTACTTCTTAACTTATTTGAAAAAAATCAAAATAAAAATGAAACTTCTACACCCTGTATCTCCGAAACTAAGCATTTTAGGACATACATTTATACGAACTTTTTTACTTATTTTTATCTGCAGGATGTGCTGCCGAAGTTTGTGGAATACAGTTCGGACCACCCTGTATATTTCTAATTTATTAAGCTTCTTAAAATAGTGAGATATATACTTTGCTGCAATATACTTATAAATCTAACATGTTCAGTTCTAACATATTCACACATACACATGAATGCGTATTATGATTATAACTGAGTTTATTTATTCTCCTGGTATTTTTAACAAATTATAATTTATTTGTTTTTATAAAATAAAATATATTTTCTAAAATATTCAAAGGAAATGCAAAAGTTGTATAAATATTTGGGTTGTAAACTAAAATATTTTTTCAGTTCCATGAATAAACAATTTTTAGAAGTTGCGCTATTTTCCTGTTGGCTGCCTAATAGCGAAGCTATATCGACGGAAAAATAAATTGCAATTTAAAATTCCTGGTTGCAATTCGTTACTTAGATGGGTTTAAATTAAAGCAATGCTTTGAAAATATAACAACAGAAATTCTTTACTATCTTAATTTAATAAACGTTTATTCATGCATATACTTTCATTTTTAAGACTATTGCATTATACATAGAGGAAAAAAGATCCTTGTTTTAAATAAATATTATACAATTCACATTCTCTATTCCAAAATTACAGTTAAGGCTAGTTTAATATATTCTATTTTAGCACGAAAGAAAAATTATTATATATTGTACCATAACGATCGAAAAAAAACTGCATCAAAGACGGTTAGAGAATGACAATCGATGATAAATTTGACGAGGTCAAGCCCTAGATGTCATTTACTTACCCTTATGTACTTGACCTTATTTTTTAATGTCGGTAACTGTCAGTTGGGCTTAAGAAGATTGTATTTTATTTTTTATTGAGTAAAAATGATTTTTTAATGGTGTAGTTTAAAATTCGGGAAATTGTATATTGTTTTATTAGGAGTAAAAATGACACTTTTAGTGTCTTTAGAGGCTGTACGTTTGACGGACGAGTATTATCGAATCCGACATACAGCCGAGGCACAAAAAGTCAATTTTATTGTGACAATGACATCTAGAGATTGACGTCGCCAAAATTATCCATGATTGTCATTCACCAGTCGTCTTTGACGCCGTTCATTTTCGGTCATACGATATCGTGCAAAATATAGAGCGGTGTCGAAATGTATTGTATAATATCACATACTTAATGTACAATACATAGTTTAAAGGGCTTTAAATTTTGACTTAATGTCTTTAAAAGGCAGTATAATACAGATACATAATGCATACAATCTACTTTAGCTTTATCTTTATGCTCATGGAGAAATATACTTTGAGATTACCTTTAGAATATTACATGGAAGGTATATGAACATTTTTAAAATATTTATTGGGTGTAAATTGCTTTGTTTACATTTTTTATCGTTAAATTTATATATTTGTTTTATCGTACCTAATTTATTTTCTAAAATAAACAGTGCTTGGACGTATTTATCAAAGTTAGATAAAAATTCTGTCCGAGTGGGCGTACAGTGGGCCATGGTTTGTGAAATTAACAATACAAGAGCACAAAAAGAACCTAGTATGCGTAATTGTAGGTGTCATCACTGGAAACTGCCCCCTAACCTCGTGAGATGGAAGATTTCCAAAGACGACTACTTCAGAGAATTCGGAGAGGAAGAAGAAACCATAGAGCACCTGCTGTACCACTGTCCGGCACTGGAATACCGACGCTTTTAAACTTTAGGGCAAGGTTTTTTGGAGGGATTGGACGAAGCAGCAGAAGCCAACATCAGCGACATCGCGAACTTTGCAAAGAGCTGGAAGTGTTTTAGCGCAAAGAAAGAATGAGAGGAAGATTTGGTACAACAATAACAGGGTATCGCAATGGGCCCAAGGCCTCCGAGTGAGGGATCAAACATGATCCCAAAGCCCAGCAACCTAACATAACTTAACCTATGTAAAATACGTACATAACATATTTTGTTATTTTATCTTAAGAAATAAAAAAAGTATAGGGCAGCGACTTTTTAGAAATACCCGGTAGATATATTCTGTACTCTAGATATAGATATTAAAAAACTATATAAAGTCAAAGTATGTTAAAAAAAAGAATTTACAAGAATAGATCACTAAAAAACAAATTGGTCATCAAAAGGCCATTACGAAAATCACATAAAATATATGGATTAAAAAGGACGCCCGAAAGAGAAGCCTATTGGGAAAACCACGTATTAACTAACTTTGTTGAATACATTTTTGAACAAAATTATACCGACAAAATAAATCAAAATAATTCAATTTATCAAAAACTTTCTCCATGATGTTAATAAATTTAAGTCGCCTGAGGTAGACATAAACCTTTTAGACCATTTTGTCATCCTGGCTTTATATTTTCTACACACGATTTACTTGACAATAGACCTTAATTTGGAATAAATATTTTTGCCAAAAGAAAAATTAGTTTTATACTTTTAATAAATGATAGTTAAACTTCATGACATATGAGTACGGTTTAAAAAAAATGAGAGATCAATACAGCATACAAAATAATTGCAATATACCTACTACTCAGTTATTTTTAGATGTCAAAAGTTGTCGTAGATATGAACCTAAAAAAGTTGTAATTAATATACAGACTATTATGAAAAATAGAGACTGAACAGATCTCTTAAAATTAAAGGGTCTAGATTTTTTAATCAGACTTGAGAAAATATAAAATTTAAATCAAATATTTTTTGAAAAAGTAATTTTCCTCCTTTATTAGTTTGTTTCCTTTATTTTCAAAAATACGCAGAAATATATAAATTCTATATTCTCATTTATTACTTGCGTTATAGATTTTAAACATAGTTCTAGTTCTCCATATATTTATATTTTGTTTGTACCGTATGATGTAAAATGACAGCGGTCTCCATTTCATAGCCATCGCTGACGGCGGTTTTATTCAATCATACGGTATAAGTTGTTACGGTATATGTTATCTAACATATATTTATTGAGTCTATAATAATAGTTTCATTCTAATCTAACTCTCTAAAACCCAATCACGTTTTTACAGCTTGTTTTTAAGCGTTTATTTTTACTGTAAATTGTTTCATTTTATTTCTCTTTATATTACAACATTTAGTGACAAATAAAGTTATACTTACGTGTGTGATACAGTCGCTGAATACAGCAAACAAGGAAAAGCAATGACCATGCTGGCTGTCCATATAAAGAAAATTGTGACCAGAGAAGAAGTTTTAGACATTCTTGGTTGGAGAGGATAAACAATAGCTAGATACCTGTAAAAAATAGATCTGATATATATGACGAGTATAAACGCGAAAGTTTGTTTGGAGGTATGGATGGATGTGTACATTTTAGTTACTCTTTCACGCAAAAACTGCTGAATGGATTTTAATGAAACTTTACAATACTATAGTTTATACATCAGAATAAGATATTATAGGCTTTAATTTTTAAAGATATTATAAAAATAGATAAATACCAGAAGAGCAAAAAAATATCATGCGGTTCACTTAAACTTTGTCAAATAATGACTATCTTTATTCATGGACTATCAATTACAACTAGACACATGTAAGAGATACTTTCAAATATTTCCACTAGGTGCTATAATGAATATTATACTTTGTTTTAATTAAATTCGAATTTTATGCGGACGATTTCGTGGTAAACAACTAGTTAATAAATAAATGAGGGAGAATCGTTTAGAGATATTGTCACTAAAAATAAAATATAATATGCTTTATTTTTTTAGAAATGTTAAAAGAAACAACTGATACAGTTATTTTCAAATTATTGTTTTCTTTACCATTAGTTTTTATATTTTATATATGTTATATCTGTTGCCCGGCTCGTACGAAAAACTTTAAACCGTGGCAACTCCAATTTATGACAACTTTTTGATAGGTACCTTTATAACATCATGCACAGAATACAAACAGGTTTAATTTGACATAATATAAATGACAAAAAAAATTATGAGCGTCATGTCGCTTCCAAAATCTGTTACTATTATTATTAATTACTGATTGTTGCGGCAACATTTTAATTGGCACCCTGTGAAAAGTGTATTCCCCTATTCATAAATATACATAAAAATTAAGTTTAATTAAAAATACGATGAGCGTAATAATCATGCAGCCGGATCCTGTACAAAACTGACATGCTACTTTTATTACTGAAACCGGATATGTATACTAGTTTGATCAGTATTCAGATATTTCCCTATAGAAAACTTTTGGAAATTTGACGTATAGTATCCAGTCCATCACAAAGTTTAATAGACTAAATTTTGAATTACACATAAGCTTAATCAAAATATCACATACATATCTGCAGACCAGTAACTGGAAATTAGAACCCAGCAATAGAATATATCTAAAGCCATAATTTTAAAATATTACATATATCTATATTTGAAAAGGAAAATTATCTCATATGAATACAACTTGTGTCCAACTGAACTTTTTAGTAAGTACTTAGTTACAAATATTATATTATTACAAATATTTTCAAGAAAATATTTGTAATTAAAAGTGATAATATAAATATTTTAATTAATTTTATAGTATTTTTTTTCCTTAAAAAATAATATACAATTCATACCAAATAAACTTTTAGTTACGTGATCAAGCTTGACAGGCACAGCGTTGTCCACTTTTATATATTTTCTTTTAATGAAAATATTCTAGGAAACAAAAATAAATTAATTATAAATATATAAACAGTTATTATTTACATCAATAAAACTCACCTTCTTAACAGCACTTAAAGGACATAAAGGGCTATTACTACCGCTTTCCCGTTCAAAATATTCTAATAAAGTTGCGAGGAGTTTTTTACGGCTATTAAAATATCTTGTACACTTCACGCTAAAAGAGGTTCTAAAAAGAACAATGTTCAATGACTGCAAGGTCTGCTAGTAAACCTTTTTAAGCTTAAAGTGTCACAACACTATTTATTTAAAATAAAAACGCATAATAAAAAAATAAAGTGTCAAAACGAATGAGACTGTCAAGAAATAAATAAATAAATGCGGCAACTTGACATTTTTTTACAGCAGAGCTGCTATTACAGTTGGGGGTTGGAACTTTTGTGCTACATAGAAAAATAAAACACTAAATCATCACAATACACCAAAACACCTTTATTATTACACTGGACGCTCGTTTCGCTAACCATGTTAGCATCACCAGCAGATAATCAAGACTGACTATGCTAAACTGGTTAGTGAAACGCGCGTCCAGTGTAAAAGTGAAAGTGTTTTGGTGTATTATCGTCATTTAGTTTTTTATTTTTCAGCAGGGCTGCCACCTGAATCCCCAGCGAGAAATTTAAATTCCACTTAGTCAGCGCAGTGTAGAATATGCCCATGGTTGGCAAAAATTAATTTAAAAATCGCGCCTTCGATAACGTATCTAAAAGTTTATTTGATATTAACCGTAAATATTATGTCTACTAATAATCTTGTAATGATAGCACAGTTCTGAATTAACCTTAAGGCGGAGATTGACGTGAGCTGAGCACTGTAATGTAATAATGTAATTTTCGTTTGAAGCCGAAACGCGAAAATGCTCCGTTCGCTGTGCCCCAATATATTTTCAGCCTTTAAAAAACGTCGGATCTAAAAATTGGGATTGCTACCTTGCTACCTGAAATGGAATTATAAGACTATCGTTAGGGTGTAATTTTTTTTGTAACGAGAAAACGTCAGTAATCGCGATAATTTAAAAACTCAACTTTTTAACACATCACAGGTCATAACTCAAGAACCACTTTAGATATTGAAACTTTTTTTTATTTTCAAGATCGGATATTTTGCAATTATGTTTACATAAGAAAAATTCGATAAAGTTGTTTTTTCCATTCAAAAATTATAAACAATCAATCCATTTACTTTTAGAGCATAGCAATTTTAGCAATCGTGTAATTTTTTTATTGATAAAGATTTTCACATACTGTCTACAAAGAAAATACAGCAGAAATATTAACAAAGTTCTTGAAAAAACTACAATCTATTATTTCTAATAGATTTCGAGATATCGATTTTTGAATTGAGAATTCTAATAGCGCGACCACTATCGAACACCCACTCAATTCCACTTATTTTTACCAAAAATGCAAGTGTTTCTAGCTTGCACTTAAAAAAATTCAAGCTATAGAGAAAATGACAACGACTCGTTAATAAATAAACAAATTAAGTATCACGAGACGTAATTAAATCGTGAAACTGAACGCATAATGTACACCTTTCCCTAGAACTTTAAGTACTGACAGAGGTATTGATTGGGTCGACCGGTCAACTGCGACAAATCTGTTGTATCCCCTTCCACGTCTCTTAGCGATGTGCACAGTTTCTCGGTTTATTTCATACGTTTGGCAACGTGTTTACTGTTCTCTCTTTGTTCAGTACATTATAAACGCATTGTACTCTTCTTACATACGGAAATCCCGACCCAAGATTAACCTTTGCCAACCCTTACTATATTAAAGATATGGTTAGAATACGGACATTTGCCGAACCTGTATTGATTTGTAATGTAACAATCAAAGAGATTCGCTAAAAAATGGCAGTCGAGTGAAGCACCGTTGTTGTTGGCGAGCCGCTTGGTTTGCCGATTATTCCCTTTCAATGACTAGCGAATATTCGTGTTACAAAGCGTTAAATTACAACGCTCGGCTCAAGCCAGCCCTCGCCATTAGACATAGAAACCGAACAAAAATAAATCTTAAAAAAATTGATATGTTGAAGCACTAGAGAATAATTCAAAGTATATTTTTGTGCCACCCTCAATATACCAACCAATATAACGTGTTTTAGTATAATTAGGTTTGAGAAATTCAGTATTTTGTAATTAGTTTTGAAACTATTACAAAATATTTCCGGTTGAATATCATCAATATACGCTAATAATTTATAATCTTTAGAGTGTTTATGCGCTGAAAATTTAGTTAAACTATTTTTAGAATAGAAATTTTGATGTTAATAAATTAAGCAAAACTTTTTACAGTATTCCATTTAAAAAACAACAAATTTTGGATATTTCTAAAAATATTTTTAAAATGTGAGCTCATACATCATTTTATAAAAAAAAACAATAAAATTGAAATGTAAAATGTGTTATTGATTTTTTTTTCAAAACTGTGGCTCAGGTTTATTCTATGGTTAAACTTACCGATCACATGATATTCCTGTCAATGTGAAGACACTGGCAGCTACAGTTGCGTAGGCAATAAAATTACTTATTGTGCAATACAGTGTTCCAAAGGGCCAATTTCTGAAAAAAATAGAAAAAAGCTACTATACGGGATCATAAGAGAAAGAGAAAATAGAATATTGTTTTATCAATCTGTGGAAAATATAATTTAGACGCTTATTCTATATATTTGATTTTTACTTTATTTTATAAAAAGTGGTATTCTGAATAGAATGATATATTATAATGTAAACTTTTGACATTTTTGATTTAAAATAATATTTTAAATTTTATTTTAGAGTGCCATGACGACAGTAAGTGAAGGCTCAGGGAAGAAACAGGTAAAGGTAAGTAAATTTTTATGCTATATTTAAATATTCGTTGCATTCGATTCACAGTGTATAGTATATTTCAACCCCTAAAGCACAATTATGATTTTTTTTTTGAATTTTTTTAGTTTTTATTTAAAAAACATAATTTCTTGATAATATGACAACATAGGTAGTAGATTAAATATACTAGAAGGAAAATCCAGACGGTTCTCAAAATTTTGGCAAAAAAATAACTTTTTTGGATATTTTCAAAGTAAAATAACTCGGTTATTTTGATTTTATTTAAAAAATAATAAAGAGAAAATATTTTTTTTATCGAGATCTACCAGCCCTAAAAATATTTTCACTTATTTAAGACTCACCCTGTATAGCGTCAAAATTATACTTTTACAGTATTTTCTTTTATGGAAAAAAGCAAGTAAGTCAATCAAAAAGTGGAAAGAACCAAGCAAGTCATTCTTGACTGTTAAAATGTTGAAGAAGCCAAAATTTATTTAGTTCAATGCTAGAAGGGTAATAATAGTTATCGAAAAATGTGATGCTTTAACGACATCAATAAATATGACGTTAATCAAAATTAATTATAACCATAGATGAAAGAAAATAACCATCTATTATTAGAACGATCTATCAAAGAATGAATTAGAAATTATTTTACCATAGAAACATTTTTTAACTCTTAAGACTTTTTCAACTAAATTTTCATATATTTTTTCATTTTCTCTGAAACGGCATGTAAGTTTTGAAAAATATAAACGGGATTAACTATTTTAGAACAAGCAAAAATGTTTATGATGAAGGCATTTTTCTGAAAATGTCATTAATAACATATTTTTCCTCTCGTAAAGCCAATCTGGGGACATACTGTATATTCTCTAAACGATAAACCTAAATTTATAAAATATTCTAATATACCAAACCCTTAAAAATAAGTTTTCAAAAAGTATCTTTTTTTATTTTTACATTTATAATCCATTACTGACTTCTGTTATTTTCTAGCAAGTAAATAATATTTCCTTTTGAGAAACTTTGTTTCAAAGCCAGTCGCATGCCAGCTTCGCTGCAGAGAATAATTCAAATCAAATTATTCTAAGTGCTTGAAACTGACAAGAGGATAATACAGCAACAAAATACGTTTAGGATTCTAGCTAGCATATTTTTGCAGTACTAGCTTTAAAGATTTAGACTCTCGGTAAAATTTATTATCTAACATCAGATTAAGGTAGCTGATATTTAATTTCAGTTAAATTTTAAATTATTCAATATTAAATATGTTTCAAGGGGGTTCATTTTGGATGCTTGAATTTTAAATATAATCTATGATCAACTATCCAAATAGTAAAATTTACAAAACGCACGGAAAATATATTAATTGGACAGCAATTGCCGGCAGCAAACTATTATGATAATCTCACAGACAAATAAAATCTTTGACATTACCTGATAAATACAATTCGAGTCGCAGCTAAAGTATAGCACGTAGAATGTTTAGAAGGGGTTAATCACAGTGATCTTAGGCAAGGCGGGCACCAAGGTGGTAAGTAAGTGATGTGGCAGCGGCGTGGTAATCCAGTGGCAAAAAGATATATAGACAGTGGCGTTAGCCTAAAAATATTTCAGTGCCGGACATCAGCACCAAATTTGGCACACGCTTTCTAGAGATAATAAGGCTTCAAAAATTGCCGGGAGACAATCTTTCGCATCTCCGGATCATCCTTTGATGACGTCACCAAAATGGCGGACCAAATTTTTAGCATGAAATTGGATTATTACTTGTAACTTTGTTAATATTTAACCAATTTTAAGTTTTAATAGCTCATTTTAAAGCTTGAATAATTTTCTAAAACAAAACCTAATTCAGCTTTTTTGTAGGAGGGATAATTTTCACGCATCCCTTAAAATTGGAATAAATAAATGAAAAATGACGGTTTTATTCTAAACAAATTAAAACATTAAAACAACAAAACAAAAAAATTGTTTATTACGTATACTACTCTTAATTTTAACTATTTTTTGCCATCCCTCTCCCATCGACACATCGTCCCCCCCCCCTTGCCTTGTCTCTGAAATGTTACAAATTTGTTTTCATAAGTAAAATAACAAAACTTTTTTTTTGAAGAAACAAAATGCACATAAAATAAATATTTATTTTTCTACCCTCCCTTTACTTAAGTCCTTTTTTTTAGTTCCTGTCCACCCCTCAAACCTATATACACCTAAAAAGTTATCAAAATGTATAATGTATATAGAGCTATAAGATAAAATATTAAAGTAATATCTTAATACTAATTTTATTACTAAAAAATAGTAACTATATGTACAATATTCCCAAACAAAAGAAAATTTCGCGGATAGATGGCCTTCGCGTTTACAGAGCATTATATTGTCCAGCCCTGAAAGTTCTTCTGAATTCTCCTAAAAAATAACCAAAAATGTTCCTAAAAATAACTTGGGAGGATACATTTTTAAACTAAAAGTAACTTAAAATTAACTTCATTATCACTTATAATTAAAAATAGTAACTAATAACAATATGTACAATATTCCCAAATAAAAGAAAACTATTCGCGGGTACATTGACCTTCGCACCTGCAGAGCATTGTGCACCTTAAGGTACTTTTTACACAACGACATTTTGAATTACATCTTTGGATGCATTTAGAGGCGATAAACTCTTATAATTTTTTTATTGCAATATCGGAACTTGTAGACCAAAGTGGCCCAACTTTTTTTCAGAGACATGGCAAGGGGTGATATGTCGATAGGGGGGGGGGTCAAAAAATAGTTAAAATGATGAGTAGTATGCGTAATAAATAATTTGTTTTTTTTTTGTTGTTTTAACGTTTCAATTTGTTTAGAATAAAACCGTCATTTTTCATTTATTTAATCCAATTTTAAGGGATGCGTGAAAACTACCCCTCCTACAAAAAAAAAACTGACTGAATATGTTTTTTTTAGCAAATTATTCAAAATATCAAATGAGCTATTAAAACTTAAAATCGGTTAAATATTAACAAAGTTACAAGTGATAATCCAATTTCATGCTAAAAATGTTGTCTGCCATTTTGATGACGTCATCAAAAGATGATCCGGACATGCCAGAGATTGTCTCTCGGCAATTTTTGAAGTCCTATTATGTGTAGAAGCTGTGTGCCAAATTTGGTGCTGGTGTCCAGCACTGAAATATTTTGGTGCTTTTTAAGGTCAACGCCACTGACTAATAAGCCAATTGAAGAAGAAGAAAGAAATGTTGTGGCGCTAATAAGAGTGGTGTGGCAATGGAGCGGTTTTTTGTAAGTGGCGTGGTATTAATGGGGTGTCACAAGTGCCACTGTGTTTTAATTAAGTAACAATAAAAAAAATTAACTCTCATTTTCTCGATAATTACATTTTGGACTTGATTCAGTTCACTTCTGAGCCTCTGAAAATTAAAGTTTAAACTGCAACTATGGTGCCCGGTGGCGTAGAGGTACAGGCTCTCGTCTACCAATCTCAAGGTAGTGGGTTCGAATTCTACACCCGGCATTTCATCAGCCGACTATTGTTATTAAAATAAAAATAGTTTTGGTACCTAGGTCGACTCAGCCTTAAATGAGTACTTGGGATTCACAATCCTGAGGTAATAATAGGCGATTGAAGCGTTGTGCTAGCCTCACTACCTTCCTTGTATACCGAATGGCTCTAGCATGGCAAGCTGTACCTTGCTACTCCCAAGGCGTTCAACGCTATATACGGGGGAGCTATTATATTAATATTATTAATTGCAACTGCTTTTTCAATACGTAATTATATTAGGGCTAGTTGGGGTAATGGTAAACAGGGGCAAATGTAAACTGGTCCAATAACTTTTGCATTTGGCGGGTAGGGAATAAGTCGAATGGCGCCCACATCTTTGATATGTATTGACTCGATTAAATGAATTTCCAGTACTATTTGTTTATGGTACAAAAACATTTTTTTTGGAGAGCTGCTTTAAAACTTGTAAAACGTTTTATACCTTTTATACCTCGTTTTAGCGAAACTTTGTTTAAAAATTTCAATTTGTGAATAAGCTAAGATAATTTAGATACATAGTGGTCTATTAGTAAAATGCATGTTACAATTTGAGATTAACTTTTACGGGAAATGAAGTATAGAGGTGTTTACAAATGCCCCAGTAAAATAGGATTGCGGGGCAATTGTAAACTTGATTTTGGGGTAATAGTAAACACGTGTTAACACTGATAATGATAATGCTCCAAGACAGATATGAAAAAGACCAAAAGAAGAGAAACGTTAAAAATGCATTGGTTGGGTTTGTAGAAAGGAAGATAATATATTCGTTTCCGGGAAAGATAGATGTTTTTGAAAAACCTTAATATTTTTTGTACAGTTTTGATGAAACAGTAATAAATAATTTGTCTTAATAACAAAATGTTTTATATTGTCTTCATGGGGAAAATTGGAAACAATTAAACACATTGATAAACTTATAACCCAACTAAAAACAAACTTGTATAGTTCTTGGTTCATTATTACCGCATCTAAAAAATATGTTTACATTTATCCCAAAATAGAACAATATTTTATTTTTCTATGGGGTAAATGTAAACAAGTTTTTTTTTGGAATTTATTGCAAATTTCTAGCTGTCCATTAAAGCACCTATTAAGTAAAGTGTCTTAAAATATAGCCTTTTAGAATTTTCAGTGCAAACGTCAAAGTTTCAAAGTTATACCTCTTTAAAATGATTTTTGTTAAAATCGTTTACCATTACCCCAACTAACCTTATTTAAATAATTTTTTTTTAAATGTGAATTATATTATTCTTAGTAACTTGCAAAATGTCACTATCTTCATTTGAGAGAAAAGTTTAAACTTTTAGCCATCCAGGTTATGAAAATCATTTACCATCTGGTCTAGAAGAATGAAATTCTACAGAAAGAAGAATAAGAAGAGATTTTTGAAATTCATCAACCAAATGGGTAAAGTTAGTAAAAAATTATATAAACCTTCGTGACATCTGGATTATACACATAAAAATTTGCACAAAGGATCATTTAAAAAATATGAGTTAATTATTTGAACATAGGGATTTATGAAATTCATACTAAGAGTATGAATTGGGAATAGGGTAGAATAGGGAATGAAAGTTTGCTGTACGAAAATGCATTACTAAAACATCTAGAAGTATAACATATTATACAAGGGTTTATTTAGTGACATCAATAATATGAACGAAATGTTTATTTTTCAAATCATCCTTCTAGGAATAAAAAATAGCATATAAAGAGAGTATTAGTGCTCTGGAAAAATAAAATAAAATCAGGGGAGTATATCAAGAAAAGCGAAAATTAAAAACTTTATATGTCAAAGCTATTTATTTTAGTAATACAGTTTATATGGGACCATAGGTAGGGTTCTATCCATAGAGGGTAAATGTCATTTCACTATTTATTATTTTCGAGAGATTTTCTTTTTTCAGATTTTGCAAAATTTCGACTTTGGTTCGAGTTCTAAAACACCTTATATATAATTATTAAGAAATATAAAACCGCCACAGAAGAGCGCCATAAACCCTCTATCCAAACATACATAATTAGTTTCAGTCAATGGAAGTGGTTAGAAAAATTTGAAAAAGAGTTTTAAAAAGCAAGATTTCAAAATCATTTTGGGGCCAAAATTGAACTTCTTTGAAATACTTTGACTTCGATAACTTCTAGAATTATTAAGATTATTTATTTCAGACGGGTCTAATTAAAAGTTTTATTTTTGATATACAAAGTGTGTCCTAAATTCATATACTGGGGGATGAAAAAACGGTTTTTAAATTTTCGGATTTTTTTACATACATAATCCATATCCATACATATAAAAGCTCAAAGGTTTTTTTTGTTATGTCCATCCCGCCGAAACCGCTTCACCAATCTTGATTCTTTTTTTAAATGAAAAGTATGTATGTATAGATTTGTTATGAAGTATTTTTATATTGTTTAATGGCTATTTCTTTGTATAAAACGACTAAATACTAAAATATACCTGACAAACACCTATACAAAATACCTCCAGAAATAAATTATTTATTTGTCATTGTCAGTGGTGTGTCAGTTAGATTATATATCAAGTTTTTAGATATTTTAGGGGTCAGTTAATACCGCCAGCTTTACATACATAAATATTAGAAGAAATATTAAGATAAATATTAGAATTTAAACAAAGGTTTGTTTAAATGGCATTGGTGATTAGTGAATTAGCTACGCAAAGCGATTTTAGGCAATTCATCCTCTTAGAGTGTAAAATTATGTCGAACAATTTGTTGTATGAAAATTCCTTACTATTTGGTCTAGAAGAATGAAATTCTACAGAAAGAATTAGAAGAGATTATTGAAATTCATCAACCAAATACAAATCACTTTACCATAACAAAAAAGTAACAACATGTCATGGCGGAAGATATTCAGGTGGTATTTCACACATTTATCTATTAAAATCGAGATTAAAATAATAAACTTGCGTAACATGTTATACATGAGAAAGAAAGTTTCAGAATCGATTAATACGCAATACGCTACGCAGTCAAGTTGTTCCTATGCGCGGATGAGCGTCTTCAAGACTCTTCCATCGGCCAGGGTCACGACGCCGCCGAAGAGGAATCGGCCTACGTTTTGTTAAACAGGCTGGACACGGTGGACTACGATATTGGCGAGTCTCAATATTTATAAAAAATTGCAAAGTATATGTTATATTATATATTAAAAATAATTAATAATTTATTAAATTATTTTACTTAACTGATTAATTTTCATTGAAAAGGCATTTTTGCAATTCGCCACTATATTAGATAAAAACTAAGAAACTCATATCAAATTTAAGTTTTGCGATTTTGACCTATACTTTTAACAAAATCTGAACACATTTTAAAAAAGTTTTTGATAATATTTGTGTAGATTGACTACAAGTTGTATAACATAAATTTCTACGACCGGTCTACCTAGTGGTCTGCAGCATCGCCTTGTGGTGCAAACGTGGGCCTGTTAATCTGTGACGTGACGCACAACATTCAAGAAAAACAGAAGCGTGGCTAATAATTTAGTAATTTAAAAAAAATGTCTTTTAGATACAGTAGTAGGTATTAAAAAGTTCTGTGTTTAAATGGGGTTTGCCTTTAACAGTTAAAAATTATATCGTAAAGTGTAACTTTCCGTATAAGAATTCTTTATCTGTCATCGATCATGATCTGTCATCATGTTAAACTGATGTTTTGTATATTATTTTGTTTTTTTGCTTGTTTGTTTTACGGATAGGTGCGATCGCATAATTATTATTGATTATTGATAATGTTTTATTTAATGTTAACATTACTACTTTTTCAGTGAATGTTTAAATCTGTTGTTTTTTGTTAAGTTCGTTATTTAAACGTATGTATGTAATACACTCATATTAACACTAATCATATTTTTACGTTTTTATTCATCATTTTCAATGCCCCCCGGTTGCATCTTTGTAAAAGACTGTGAATTTTTTCTTAATTTTTTTCTTTTTCTCCTTATTTTGAGTGTTTAGTTCATCCTCTGAGGCTGATGACATTTTCAATAATAATAAAAGTACTGATGAGATGAAGCAATGACACCAACGTCGCTTCCTACTGCACAGTGCGCATTACTTCACTTTCATAACCACTTTCATTTCAGAGCCACGCTAATTAATCACCATTCCTATGCTTCATGCCATTCCTTTACCTCACCACTGCCAGATCACTTCATTGCGCGCCTGACCTTAGATATTTATATAGTCTCAGGGCTTTGACAAAAGCCAGTATCTGAAACGGCTCCACAGAGAGAACTTTCTATCTCCGATATCAGACGTACCAAAGTATATGGCAAGAACGGTTGTCGTCCCGGCACACGTACTGATAAGGTGTTCTGGTGTTTCTCCATTTTCCCTACAGAAACTACATTCACCGTTGTTTCTTAGCTTCAATCTAATGAGGTGTTCGTTGAGGAGACAGTGTCTTTTTAAATCAAGGAATATCTGTGATTTTTCTCGCTCGTAATTTCCGAAAAAATTTTTCGAGTGTTTTAGACCGTTCGTTGCAGGATACTCGAAACCTATTCCAGGTTATGGATCGAGTCCGCCAGGTTCCTCAGTTCCGCTTTAAATTATGTATATGGTACGTTAACTCGTGCTGTAAATGGATTACTAAATCAGCGCTACACGCCTTGTGCAACTTTTTGTCATTTACTAAAAAATTACATAAAACTTGTAAAAATTAACACTAAAATTATAGAAAATTTTAAAAAAGATAGAACGGTTTGTATACACACAAATCTATTTCCAAAAAAATATTTTTCTCAAATTTTAAACTACACCATTTAAATTCATTTTTACTCAATATAAAAATATAAATTACAACCTACTTAAGGAAAACGGACTGTAAGCGCCATTAAAAAAAGATTACGGGACATGATGTCCAGGGCTTGACCTTGCCAAAATTAGCATTCCCAGCCGTCTTTGACGCCGTTTCTTTTTCGATCGTATGGTACTATTAACGTCCTTGTATTTAGTAAATGTTTTTACTTATTCTAGTTGAATATATTTACAAAATAATTTACCTTTGTATCATGTATATGGAGTTAAATATGCAATTGAAAAGTGTCAAGAGAAGGTCTGCTGTGCTGAGATTTACGAGAAAATAGTTGGTTACTGTTCTCATTCTTCTGTGGGCTAAAACAAAAAAAAATGTATTAATAAAGTAAGAATAATACAAATAAAATAATCATGATAGAATACAAGAAATGTTCATAATTTCATTGTTCATGAGACACTTTTCTTACAAAATGCTTTAATTATATAGAATATATATATTTCAGATATTTTAACAAACTATTAAAAAAAATGCAAACAGTTAACTTTGGCTGCTATGCGGATATTGTTTTCTATTGTTATTACTGTTTATTCATAAAGTAAGATACTACCGCATACAGAACTTGGACTTTTAAATTCTCTAAAAATCTTTTGAGTTTTAACATTATATTTATAACCACAGGTAGTGTAGGAGTCTCAGGAAACTTTATCAATATACCGAGTTCTGGTTTATATTGACCGAAGAAACTTTTTTATTTATATTCCAGTGTGATAGAAATGAAGTAACTTTATCTATTAATGTCTGTAGAAAAATATATAACAATATATTACAATAAATATTTAACATTAAATATTTTTAGGAAATATATAATAATAATATATAAATATTTAAACAATATTTTAAAATGACAAAAATATATTATATTACGTTTCTATTTAAAGTAAAAAAAAACGTAATATAATATCAATCCAATCAATTTTGATGTGAACTTGTGTTTTGAATATAATGTCAATATATTTAATGGGTATAAAAATAATGCAATGTAACGATATACTTTCAACATTCTAACGCTAAAAATATTTTAGGCCGATGGAGCAGGTGCCTTAAATGTAAAAATATGCAAAAATCCCAATTTTCAAAAACGTCCTATCACCGGGTCTCCATAGATGTTTAACGTGCCATGGCCCTGAACTACCTTGTATATTAATGTATATATATAATATTGACATTACTGACTTTTTAAAAATTTGAGTATCATATTATCTATTTTTACTTCCTTCTTGCTTATTCACTTTTCCTCACTTATTTTTTTTTAACTTCGTTGTCTCCTTTACATTTTCTCCGGCTGTTCTTTTTGCAACTTCTTTAAGGTCTTGTAGTTTACCAATGTTAAGATATCGTCATTATCATTGCTTTCTCACAACATTTTTAGACATTTTCTGATAAATAAATTCGAAAGAACAAAGCATAAATTAAAAATTGACAAAAGTTATTTATATTTTAGAAGTTTTAAAGGTTAACATTACAAATTTTGTAATTTTCACGTTATTTTTTCATTATCAAAAGAAAGTTTTGTACAAGCTTTTTGATTAATGATTGAGTTGAAAATAATACAACAGAGTATATAAGCCTCGGAGAAAAGTTTTTATTACGGTCTTGAGATTTAATTAAATATAAAAATATAAATCTCTCAATAGTAAAAAACACCTCAATTCTCTGTATAAAATATACTGTTTTTTGCCTGTAGATGTTTAAAATTTGGATAAATTAATATTCTAATTTACGTATTTAGTATTATATCAATTTTGCGATAAAAACTAAACCGAATATAAAAATATTTAAATTTAAACTATCGCTTGTTTCGCCACCTTTTAACTTCATTTCTCTATAGAGCTTTTAGTTGAGCTTAAAAGCTGTTAAAAGTCTGAAAATGCGGTAACTTTTGATGTTTGCCACTTTGAATAGCAATTCGGGCTCTTTGTCATTTCATGGTATTATTTTCTCTTTCTGTACTCCAATATTAGGATACTGTGTACTAATGGATATTATATTATACAGGGTCTCTTTTAAAGAATTAATTCGATTGAAATAGAAAAAGTATCTTTTTGGAATATATTTTTTTTTTTGGTAACAGGAAAGGAAACATTTTGAGGATTTGATTTAATCTAGCTAATTTTTGTCACATATAATTATTATAGGTTTATGTCTAGTTTTAATTGTGTAATAATTAAAATATATTTTAAACGTGTACCTTTTTATCACCCTTGAGTATTTTACTCTAAATCCTTTAATTTTTGTTAAATTAATAAAAGGTATATCACAGCCGCCTACATTTTTTCAAATAATAAGGATCTACTGACGCAAAATCATAAAAATTAAAATATCTAGGAAAATTTTTGTCTGAGGATTAGGCAACCTGAATAATATTTTGAAGATATATGTATGTATGCATTCCCCATTGAACACCGGAATAATGTACTGAGTATTCCATTTAAAATAAAGGATTAACTTGCTTTTAAAAATGATCAATATACCATAATTAATTTTGTTTCATCTTGTGTAATTTCTCGGGTCAAATCTTAATTTGGTTTAACATACAATAGTTATTGTAATTAGATATCAGGCTATAGAGGATAAATTAAAATTTAGATAGCTGTTATGAAATTTAGAATTTACTCTTGGTTATCACAAAATTTTAGGCATAATATGCTTTTTTAGTAAAACTCACCTTTATTTCTTTCCTAGAATCCGAAAATCAATTAATATACAGGGTGTCCCGGAAATAAGTGCAAATATTTTAACTGGTAGTATACTTCAACCCCAGAAACACGCCTCTGAGGGCTTTTTCGCGAAAAAAAAAATTTGAAGATTTGAAATTTTTTGAAAATTTTTTTGGAATTTTTTTTAGTTTTTAGTTAAAAAACATAATTTCTTGATAATATGGCAACATAGGTATTAGATTAAATTTACAAGAAAGAAAATCCAAAAAACATCTAGTGGCTCTCAAAATTTTAGCAAAAAATCATTTTCTTTTGGAAATTTTCGAAGTAAAATAACTCCGTTATTTTTGACTTATTTGAAAAACCATAAAGAGAAAATATGTTTCTTTTATCGAGATCTACCGCCCCTTAAAATATTTGCACTTATTTCTGGGACACCCTGTATAGGGTATTCCATTACAAAAAACATAACTTTGATGTGTAACTTTTTTGCGGACACCCTGTATAACTACTTATATTTTTATAAAATTAATTAACCTATATATTATATATGCTCCCAAAATTTTTCCCACAAAAATAAAATCGTGTAGGATTATTAGTTCAATTTTTCTTGACCATATATTTTCGAGGTTGCGATACGATTTTTAGAGAACGGTTTTCAAGACATGTTAGAAAAGTTAAATTTAGAGACTCGCGCATCAATAGAGTGGTTCCAACATGACTTTCATTGTCACTCCCCTCATAATGAAAACATTGTTAAAAATTATTTATATTATAATTATTTAAACTCAAGGATAGGAAGAGGTGGAACTAATTGCATGGGCCTCCTCGATCACCTGACCTATCTATCTTTTTATATATTATTTTATGCGGTATATTTTTTGAAAATTTTCGAAAATAACCTTAAACTGTATGTAATGATATTATTTTTTAAGTTTAAGTTTGTGTAATGTAAATTATAAAAAAACTGTTTAATAAAATATTCTGTCTTTTTATAACTCATAAATTATAATAATTTAATAAAAAAAACATAAGAATAAGATGCCAACTAAGTGAAATTAGTCAAGACAGATAAGAATTGGTTAGAACTCAGTAATTTTTCGAAAAAAAAACATATTATAGCTTATATCGTTGAAAAGCTTAAAAATGGCGCTTCTTATGAAGTCATGGCCAACTATGGTTTCCATTTAAAAAAACACAAGTTCGTGTCATATGTCAAAAATGACAAGCTTTAGAGAGAAACAGAAAACACAGTCTTATTAAGGATGTGATTATCTACAAGTTTTATCTGAAAACTTTTTGTGTAAAACAGACTATTATGAAATTAGGGACCATTTTTAAAATTGCCAAAACTTGTTTTTATTTCGAAATATCTAGAAAGCCATGAACTTTTTCAAAAATCTGAAAGGCGCATATTTATGGCTCCACAAAACTGCAATTCTTTCCCCATTTAACCGAGTCTCTATCTCCAGTAGTTTCCGAGATACCCATAGAGAACATCGTAGAAAACTCACTCTGTTGATTTTTAACTTGTTAAAATTTTCTTAAATAAATTACAAGGTTTTATTTAATATTCTATTATTTTATATTCACTCATTATTACTACTATTTTACATTAAGGTTAAATAAATCATTGAGACATCTATTTTTTCATGTGAAGCCTGTGTGCGTCTTACATTTGTTTCAGCTTCTCCTCAGAATATAAAATAAATATTTTAATTGTCTTAAATCTATTTTTTTAAATACATTTCCAACATTGTAGCTTAAATTTATTAATACTACTCAATATACGTATCTCTAGGAAAACAAATTTTATCATATGTCATTTAAATAGCTTTAAAAGTCTCCAAACCCTATTTTCCACTACATATAACTTTTAACTTCACGAATTATTGGCTAGACATGTAAGGAAGTTTAAAGCTATTAATTATTCATTGAGGAAAATTTCTGTTTTTGAACGCAACGGTGTTTTTTCCTTCTTGTTTTCCAGCATGATAAGGTTATTGCGCTGAAAATTGTCAAGAACAAATACCCTTTTAAGCGGTAAGACGGTGTATTGAAACTGTTCATTGAATAAACATTACTAAACAAGATGAAAGCAGAATAAAAAGTATTAACAAGAATGAAAATTAAAATGAAAGTAAAAGGGTATATTTTTGTCCAAAAATACTGTTTCTAAAAATAGGCACATCTGCTTCGATGTATGTATGTCGAAAAACATGTCAAAAAGCAAATACTTTAAGTCTTTTAGCAAAGGCGGATTTTTTTCTTACGTGTCACGTCGGAAAATGTTCTCTTTTTTCTCCCCTTTTCCAGATATAAATAGAGGTTTTCTAATTCCCATGAGCGGATAAGCTCTAAACAATTCGGAAAATAATGAGAAAAAATCGATTCAATTTATTTCTTTTATTCTAATAAAAGAATTCTCTGTAGAGAAGTAATAAAACTTTACATCTCTGTACCCCAGAAGTAAACTATGTTGAGCCACAAAACATAGTTTTGAGAAAAAGGAATGTAAAGTTCTTTTTTATTATTAATTATTTTGTTTGTTATTAGTTATATATTAACTTATTTTAAGTCCCTATTTACGCCAACAAAGATCAATTTTCGTCATTGTTGACCCGTGGACATAACATACT